GTTAATTGATACTGCGGCTTTTAATCCGGTGCGGCTTTTGGTCGTGAAAATACGGTAATTTAAAAGAGTAATGCAAACGAAAAAGAAACATACTTTCATGGAACATATTTACCAATAAATAGGGCTTGGGCAATTTTAGGTTACGTCTTCTACTTAATAAGTGGCTCAGTAAATGATGTGGAATTTTGAAACTAATAAACCCTCTACAATGCAGGAATTAATATAATAATCATTTGGTTCTATCCTGATCATGTACTTCCCTAGATATTTTGTTAGAACTAAGTGAGAAAAGAACTATTAAAATATTATTTTGTATGTTAAATATAACTTACCTTTGGCAACAATAGCAATCTTAGTTTTTCTTGTTCAGTTTACTTTCATTCAGCGCAAAATTGAAATTTAACTTTATAGGCGTGTATGGAATTATGAAATCTTACTTGAGTCGGGGTGGCACTATGGTTAGAGTCAGTACTGCAGGCTACTTCAACTCACTGTCAGCTGCCTGCAATTTGGCAGTTCGAATCTCATCAGGCTGAAAGTTGACTCAGCCTTCCATCCTTCCGAGGTGGGTAAAATGAGAACCCAAACTGTTGGGGGCAATATTCTGACTCTATAAACTGCTTAGAGAGGACTGGAAAGCACTATAAAGCGATATGTAAGTCTAAGTGCTATTGCTTGTATTTTAGTAAATAGATATGTCTGCCTGTATGTAAAATTAACATTTTAATGAAAATAATGAAAACATGAATGCAAAAAAAAATACTTGAAATATTTCATATCTGTTTGTTTCCTTCACTTCATTTTTAAAGACTTAAATAGAGAAATATTTTCTTAGCCCATGAATTCTATTTGGATTAGATTATGTGGTAAATGAACAACATTCACAAATGTCGTTCTGAAACTTTAAATAGTTTTATATATAACATAATTGTAAGTATTATCCTAGACTTTAGTTATAACAGTTTTACTCAACACCCAAAGTAGTAAAAAGGAAGTAAATAAGTTTTACTGTTGTATGTGAGACTCCTTTTTTGATATAAAATGATTCTGATTTATCATATCTCCAAGATCTGTATAGAGGTATAGAAGAACAATTGAAATATACATTAAGTTGCAGCTACGTATTATAGAGATAAGAACTTTATCTGAATGTGATCATCAGAAAAACTGGAGTAGAAATATAAGTTGCTAGATTTTATTTTACAGCGTATTTTAGAGTAATATTTAGCAACATTCTCTGAAATATGGTCAGATTGATCTGATAACAGAACTTAAGATAGGAGTTAAAGCAACCAATTTTTAGCTAGAAATGAGAG